TAAGCATAAGGACAACTTCGCATGTTACTCTCTTGGCCTCTTCGTGCTTTCTTCGGTCTCTGGGCCCTGCCCACGCAAGAAGATTGGAAAAAGTCGGCTCGAAATTTAGGCTTTTCCACTGAGTCGTGTAATTCGGCAAGCAGTTGCTGAGCCCAGCCGTCGCAGTGGAGAGTCGTATTAAACGGAAGCTTTCCGCTTGCATAATTCAGGCAATTTTGATTGGAATTTGCCTATTAACAATTCCGACCGAGTCGCGTGTAAATACTTGTCGCAGAGTGAGACGAATGGGACACTCAAATGCAATGTTCTGTGTCGGACAGAGCAGTCTCCGCTTTGACCGTTGCCTACAGTCGGACGTCAGACGTTATAACTTTGTTTTAAATTCCTAATCTGGTACAGCTGCTTCGGTCTCTGTGGTGATGATAGCGTAATGATGAAAATGTGTCGCTAAATCCACGCAACTGAGACAGTAAAATAAGGCCATAAGTCCCGTAGGACTCGAAACCAAAAGTCAATATACTGACGAGGGCCAGCAGCAATTTAGTAGCGAAATTTGGCAACAACGTAGGGTCCCATTTCGGCATACATACATGTGTAGGAGAAAGTAAAAATCTTTATAATTGGTCTCGACGAGATCTGATGCCATGAATGACTGCTGTCGAGGACCATCAGCAATTTACCTGACCGACCGTCTGAGATTAAGGTCTTGAGATATCTGATGCCGTGTAATGTGGTATATATGTACCAAAGTTATGGAGGAAGCTGCTGCTTCCATCCTCAGGGTAGATTACTCTAAAGCAACAATTTCATCCTATACGTTGATTTTTGAAGCCTACGGTAAATGTGGAAAGCACCGTTTCGTAACTTGCTCCTGTCCGGCGCACCAGTTGGCCCAAAAAGGGCACCTCCCCCCTCCATGAATGTGTTACATGTAAACAAAGTTTCACAACGGCAAGTACTGTATCATGCTACAGGACAGGCGCAGGGCCCAAAGGCATGACGTACCTCGACGTAACGCCGGACAGAAGGCTCGGTCTCAAGGCCCATACAGAACTGGTTCACGGCAAGGCCCTGAGAGCGCCTGTCGGACTGTACTGCTTCTGCAAGGAAGCCGATACTAATGAGGTCCGCATTGATGTGGCGGGACGTAGCCTTCAGAAGCCCCTGACAGCTCCGCGGGAGCAGGTGGCCAGCGGCCTTTACTAGTCACTTCCGAACTGCGACACAAAGCGGACTAGCAGATGGCCTCACAGCGGTGGTTATGAAGTCCGTTGAAAGCCAACATATTGCCTCCGTCTTCATGGCCGAAGTATAAGCCCAGCAAGAAACCAGTGTGAAAGCCAACATATTGCCTCCGTCTTCATGGCCGAAGTATAAGCAAAGCAAGAAACCAGTGTGAAAGCCAACATATTGCCTCCGTCTTCATGGCCGAAGTATAAGCAAAGCAAGAAACCAGTGTGAAAGCCAACATATTGCCTCCGTCTTCATGGCCGAAGTATAAGCAAAGCAAGAAACCAGTGTGAAAGCCAACATATTGCCTCCGTCTTCATGGCCGAAGTATAAGCAAAGCAAGAAACCAGTGTGAAAGCCAACATATTGCCTCCGTCTTCATGGCCGAAGTATAAGCAAAGCAAGAAACCAGTGTGAAAGCCAACATATTGCCTCCGTCTTCATGGCCGAAGTATAAGCAAAGCAAGAAACCAGTGTGAAAGCCAACATATTGCCTCCGTCTTCATGGCCGAAGTATAAGCAAAGCAAGAAACCAGTGTGAAAGCCAACATATTGCCTCCGTCTTCATGGCCGAAGTATAAGCAAAGCAAGAAACCAGTGTGAAAGCCAACATATTGCCTCCGTCTTCATGGCCGAAGTATAAGCAAAGCAAGAAACCAGTGTGAAAGCCAACATATTGCCTCCGTCTTCATGGCCGAAGTATAAGCAAAGCAAGAAACCAGTGTGAAAGCCAACATATTGCCTCCGTCTTCATGGCCGAAGTATAAGCAAAGCAAGAAACCAGTGTGAAAGCCAACATATTGCCTCCGTCTTCATGGCCGAAGTATAAGCAAAGCAAGAAACCAGTGTGAAAGCCAACATATTGCCTCCGTCTTCATGGCCGAAGTATAAGCAAAGCAAGAAACCAGTGTGAAAGCCAACATATTGCCTCCGTCTTCATGGCCGAAGTATAAGCAAAGCAAGAAACCAGTGTGAAAGCCAACATATTGCCTCCGTCTTCATGGCCGAAGTATAAGCAAAGCAAGAAACCAGTGTGAAAGCCAACATATTGCCTCCGTCTTCATGGCCGAAGTATAAGCAAAGCAAGAAACCAGTGTGAAAGCCAACATATTGCCTCCGTCTTCATGGCCGAAGTATAAGCAAAGCAAGAAACCAGTGTGAAAGCCAACATATTGCCTCCGTCTTCATGGCCGAAGTATAAGCAAAGCAAGAAACCAGTGTGAAAGCCAACATATTGCCTCCGTCTTCATGGCCGAAGTATAAGCAAAGCAAGAAACCAGTGTGAAAGCCAACATATTGCCTCCGTCTTCATGGCCGAAGTATAAGCCCACCAAGAAATCAGCGTGAAAGCCAATATATTGCCTCCGTCTTCATGACCGGAGCACAAGCCCAGCGAGAAACCAGTGTGAAAGCCAACATATTGCCTCCGTCTTCATGGTCGAAGTATAAGCCCGGCAAGAAATCAGCTTGGAAGCAGGCGGCAAGCACAGAAATCCGCTAGATGGAATTACGGGGGGAATGGAAGACGGCAAGTCAGTTCCCGTTGGCTCGCCCGTAGGACGGATTGAAACCGCCGGTACCGATTGGATCCAACCCGACCACCGAGCGAACCAATAGCAGACAAGTACAGGGTATCAAGCCTACGGGGTGAAGTGTGTAAGGGAGAGGTCAGTATGCGAATGTTATTGAAAACAAGGAACGTTCAGTTGCACGTGACATAGGCGGGGCACAGGCTCTCTGGGGACCAGAGACCCAGCCCCTCAGGACTGTTTGAATGTGTAGAATCCACACACACAGTTGCTCCGGCCATCTTGCACGTGTTGTTTCCGAACGCTACTGAAATATGACCTGGAGCCATCGTAGTTTCTAAAGAGAGAGAAGGGGGAGGGAGTGAGAGATATTACATTTTGGGGGGGGGATTCCCAGCCAGTGCCCACTCGTCCTTCTGGTGCAGGTATTGCACATAATCGGAATTTATTTCTATATGACGTTGGAAAGGCCGCTTTGTAGTGACATTTGTTCTAATATTGGGAGGGATAAATTAGAGTTGCATGTGAAGTCAGCAGTGCCACGTGGAGTTGCAAGCTTACAGCCGCGGCTGCAACTAACCAAGGTATGGCATAAGCTGCTGTACGGAGCCTGAACTGAAATCATGTGTATACATGTGCACATGCGTGAGGTAAAAGTAAAGTTGTCCCTGTGCTTAATTAATTAAGCGCCAAGCCATGAAGACATGCAAGAATGGAGGTATAGCTGTACCTTGCTTCACTTTGGCAATAGATGAAGGTTAGTAATCAGCTTCGCGCCTCTGCCGCTTTACCCCCAGGGTAAGCGGCACCGGTATCCATTGGCTGGGTGCGCCGCAAGCTGGGGAGAAGAGAGAAATCTTGCACTGCCGGGAATGTGACCCGGGCCTGCAGAATGTATGAAAAGTTTAAGCAGGAGGCAGAAGGAATTTGTTGCGTATTTGGCAGTTTTCGGCTAAGACTTTCGTCATAAAGAACGCCCCTAGGCTAAGGATGTGAGCATGAGACCCGAAGGGATTCAACATCAAGGTGGCCATACTAACTGACCGTAAGTTGCAACATGACATGAAGTTAGACTCTGCTCACGCCTACCATGAAGATGGAGCCAGTAGGCATCACCGAAAGCTCGGAAACACTGCCTACATCCACACTGTGCAAATATTTAATGTCAGAATCAAGAATGAAGGTGAACGGTACGGTTTGGTACCCAAGTCAAGTGCCTTGTCTGCTAACAGACGCTGCCGAATTGAATGCTATACCGTGATATACCCCCTCCCTCCGTGCAGAGATAAGGACAAGGTTTCACGGTTCCAAGTCCAATTGTTCCGTCCTTACTCACATAACAAAATTTGATGTCCTTCGTCCTGTGGTCATGTTGCTATGGGGGCAATTGTCACCATTGCCAAGTGTCGCTACAAGAATCATCATGTTAAATGGGTCCCTTGTTGGCCGATGGAGGGTAACTCATCCGTGAACAAGCAGCTGTTCTCCAGCTTTGGGGTTGGGCAGGAGCTGTCAGCCTCTCCCAGCACAGTAAGTTTCGGGCAAAGCCGATACAGCCTCATTTTTATTGCATGGGTTTCTGTCCGCGTAGTTATAACATTTTACGAAGAATTTATCGTTCAAACTTAGATTATGTATACGTTAAATTTGTCAGATATAACCTCAATGTTCTGTGTCGTCGCCATGTCCATATCTGTTGACTTACAAACAGCATTTCACGCGTAATATGTGTGACTGTTTCTCAGCACTAATCCTCACATGGCTTGCTGCAATGCTTCATTACATACTGCCATAAAACCGGAAAATAATCCGACTTTCCGCACGGGCGCCATGATGTTATTATTTTGTTTCAGAAGTTGCCTCGACACAAATCTCATATCCTTCCGGGACTTACAGCTATACAGCATTTCAGGACGCTAGAGTATGTGGCGACAGTATATCTCCCACCGCATAATTTCGCAAGTCCGCCATGTTCTTAACAGTGCTTGTTGGAATTTAGAAGACTGTGGCATTGTGGTGGCCCCCAGTTGCATAACGATCATACAAAGACTCGTGAAAATTGACATGGAGGGACACACATACACACAGACAGTAAAATGACGTCATGGAGCTGTTTCTCTTTGTTTTTCTTTCTTAAGGAAGGAAAGTAGGCTAAATGTTATCTTGTGTGTAACATGGAAACTGTGGAAGATATTTCAGATATGAAGGTTGTTTCTAGAAGACAGTTTGATGTGATCTTACCTGCTATGCGCAGACCCAGCATGGCTCCAAATCCGACTAAGATGGCGAGCAGCCTCAACAGTCCAGACTCCTTGCTGTTGTGCTCCTTCTGAAGTACCTCGAAGAAAACCGCGTACAGGATTGTCCCTGTAGCAATGCCCTGAAGAATAGCGTTTGGGACACCCCCATGCCCATCCCCCTCACTGAGCCCTATTCCTATCCCAATGCCGAGCGGTGAGACCAGAGCGAACGTGCAGATGTACATGAGACTGAGAAGGAACTTGGTCCTGGAGCTGACGAGTTCGACACCCACACAAAATGCAAGGACCAGTTTGTGAGAAGACGCAGCACCCAGCATGTACCACACGTAGCTAGTGCTAGTCTGTAGTCCTATTGCAAGTCCTTCGAACAGTTCGTGAATAGAAAGCGCTAGGACAAGAAGGAAATTGCGTACTGACGAGACAATGGTATCGTCTTCTTTAAAATGTGGCACATGGTGTGATGGTATTCCCGCTCTCGTGTCCGGTGTGCAGGTTCCGTTCGTCTTAACCTCTTCCAAAGTCGATGTCGTTAAAGCAGATGGATAGCCATGTATGACCTTAAGTGACGAGTCATCTTCACATCCTTTTTGAGTGTCCTCTGCGTCCTTCTCCAAGCTCGATCTGCTCCCGGAACATTTCCTTATGCTGAAGCTCCTATGGAGAACTTCGTCCGCTTCTGAGATGGCTGCCTCGTCTCCATGCCCGTGAATATACAGATGCGTCAGTTCCTCCAGTAGGTACATGATGAAGAACCCGCAGCACATCAGAAGTTCTGGGAGGCTGACGCTGGTTTCTGCAATTTCACTCTCTGCCTGAAGTTCGGATATGAATTCTCTCACTTCAGGCAGCATATGGAGGAACATTGTGGACAAGAGGGCGCCTCCCCCGAAACAGATCAGCAGTGACAATATCAGTCGAGAAGTTCTGGAAGTGTCGAGGCTACCGTCCGTCTTCCTGTTCCACCCGAACCATGCGGACAGTGCTGTAGGGATCATACCTAATATGAACGTTGCCACGGACAAAACAATCATGGAAACGACTTTGGCTGTCACAATACCTTCGTCTTCTTCGGGGTCAATTGGAGCTTCGGTAGTGTTATGTTCCATTGCTGTCTTGGCGGAAGATTGCAACCGAGAGTTGCAGAAGAGAACTGGAAACGGCAGTGTTTGCAATGCTAGGTGCTCTGTAAGTGAGAACGGGTTTATCCCAGTTATGCTGTCCCTATATCAACAAAAATCCGCATCGCATATCCTTTACGAATAGCATAGTTTATGCGGTTTGAGCATGCGCAGTGATAGTTCATTTCATCTTAATGAAAACACATTGAAATGATTGGTTACCTGATTCTTATCAGACGCCCCTCTTAACCAGCTGAAGAGGTGAATGTTACAGCTTCTATGTTTATCTGCTGTAACGCTCCGGCACAATTTGGTAAGTGTCCGCTTACACTTCGCCGTTTTAAGTGTGTGAGGGATACGTGTGTATACGGTGTATGCATGGTTGCTACATGTACCAACTGCTTTAATATTAAAAAAAAACTCTGAATTTTCACCACAGTATTTATGTTTAATTTAGTTCGAAAAATAGACACTTAACCATTTGCCTAAACTGAATTAACCAAAAATTGTTTTTGTAAGTGCCGCACGTTTTCTACGAAGGGCTGAAATTTTAAACATGATAATAAGAATTGTAAGATTTGAGGTTTTCACGGCCGTGGTTATGAAGAATGCCATCTTCTTGGATGTGGCGCTGTGTAGATATTGTGTTAACCGACGTTTCGGAGGAAAGTATCGCCTCCATCTTCAGGGTATAAGAAATCCGCGAGAGATGAGCCAATGTGAGCAGGTGGCTGCAGACTGCATCAACGATTTTACAGACGTGGAATAGAAATACTTCCTTTAAGACAGGATTTAGTCTAGACCAGTGTAATTAGATCACACCGACGCGACGCGACGCGACGCATAGTCCTCTTGCGTGACTTCCCATCTGTCATTCTCTTTCAACAATTAAGAACACGGACACACAGTTTACAAATTGTACACATATCGGTTCACGAACTCCGAACGTTTCTTCAGAAGCATACAATTCACGTCAGGCTTATGAACACTTTATCTACACGTGAGGAACCCCTCGAAACTTGCAAAGCAGTGTCGCCACACTGTTACCACGTGACCTCATCAAGCGTCTAGGCGCAAGAACAGCCTGTATTGTTGACTTGTTGACGTTATAAATATTCAGAGCTTTGTGTGTCGTAAGCTGCATCATAATTCATCAGAGGATGTTGACTTCATGTAAATTCCCCTATGCGGTCCCCGTGCTGCATTGCTTTCAGGCCAAGTTGCAATCTCCCGAACAATCCTGTTACAAAATGAGTTTAGCCAATGGCGCTACAGGATTCTGTGGGCGTAAGACTCAACTTCTGACTGCGGGGAAGCACCCACTTTCCTTTACCGTGCAAGGAAAAGTAACCATGAATCCAACTAGGGCTTATGACGCCACTAAAAAAAGTAAACTTGTCCCTGTGCTTAACTAATTAAGCACCACGCCATGAAGATGTATGGGGGTGAGGATGTGTAGATCCATGTATTCTTGACCTCGACACTAGTAGGATGTTAGAGGTCAGCTTCACGCCCCTGCCGCTTTACCCCTGGTGAAAGAGCTCCCGGTACCCAATGAATAGGAGGCTGGGTGGGCCCCAGAGCCGGTCCAGACGAAGTGATTATTTGAAAATTAAATCATAACTATTTTATTATTATCAGCCAATATAGAAACGCATTCTTCTGTAAGAATATAAGAAGTTTATTTCGGGTGATTTTTTCAACAGTAAACATTTATTCCATATTTCTCGACCAACGTCTTTCCTGAAATGTGGGCCCGCAAAACATTTGCAATTTTGAATCCGACGTCTCAGCTAAAAAACTTGACCACCTAAAATCCCAGACCTACTTATATTCATCCTGAGGATGGAAGTAACAGTTTTGTTGGATGCGCTGGTCTGAACCTACAACAATTCTTGGTGTCGCGACCCTGAAAGGCACGGATTGAAGACGGAAAGATAATCATGAGTGGTGATTAGATAAAAGTAGACAATGAGGTGGGTCGCGGTTCATTTCAAGGTCATATTCCTATCGCAGAATTCGCCTTGGAAACCACGCAAAACCTCAGTAAGATTAGACAGTAGTTCAATTCATTTTCGAACTATTTTTGTATGGCTAGTGGGGTGGGACTAAGTCCCTTGTACTGCGGCCACTTCTGGCCTACTGTACCAGCCCCCGTTGATAGGTGAGGGTGACTGTGTAGCAATTGGTGGAATGAAGATTAGCAGGGGAAACCGAAGTACTCGAAGAAAACCTGCCTCAGCACCACTTTTTCCACCATAAATCCCACTTGACCAGACCCGGGATCGAACCCGGGCCGCCGCGATGGGAAGCCAGCGACTAACCGCTTGAGCTATGGCGCGGCCGTATGTTCGAACTAAGTACTCCCCCAAGTTAGACGGGAGCGCTATCACAGTAGCTACCTCCTCTACGTGTTTCACATGTGGTCACAAACGAAAGAAATAAGTACATTAATGCTAAACCCAAATCTCGATGATTTCTGTCTGCATAATACAGAACATCTTTCGTTTGAAGAAACGCTTATTTAGTTAAAGAAATCTTATTTCCCACATTTTCCCATTACTTTGTCATCAAATACGTACGTACCTACGTATTGCTCATTCCTGTAAACTTTCTCATTTGTAAATATGGTAGTAATTATTTTCAGTCTTATGGAATATTGTTTCTCTGTTTTGTATTTCCTAATTTATTTTTGTTTCTCCCTCGTTCTGAACGATATCATTAATCCGCAATTAATATCATAGCGTGTGTAGCCGTCGCTATGCAGCGATCGTGAGATGGGCGGTCATACCAGCTCAGTTTCTGGACAACGGCTCAATTCTGTACAAGAATCTGTGAAGGATGGACCTGAACAGGGAAGCAGAGGCATAGCCATTGTTAACGTCCGTTACCATGAAACGTCTAGTAGCAGGCTGGAGAAGACTTAGCGTGTAGTGATTTATAAAGTGTGGAAATCATCGATAGTGTTATAGTTATTTGTAGTTACGACCTGTAAGTGGTCAATAAATCTATTCACCAATCCAAACCCCGTGTATAGTCACACAAATACGTGACAATATATATGAACTACGAAACTTCTGCGATAATTTCGAACCTTCGAATCTGTAAATGTGCCTTGATTTTAAGGGTGAGCTCGCGCTGCAGCTATCTTCGGGCCGCGTTCTGTCTTAGAGACTTCGTTGACTGATTTAGCCAGCGATCTAGAACCAATATTCTGAAACCTCTCGCCATGTCTAGTTCTGCCTGTGTCAGTAAGAACTGGAGGTGCCTTCTTGAACAGCTTGCAGTGTAATATCTCGCCTATGAGAATGACAAAACCTACGAGACTCCCCACGCCAATTCCATATAAAGCTAATTGTATGTGAGATACGGAAATTACAAAATAATCATTGCCATCTTGAATAAAGTCCGCAAAATTAGGAAATATACTGGGGTGATGAGCCGCAGCTGACAGTTTATAGTCCATCTTCAGGTCGTTCCACCATTTCCCGATTAATCCCGCTTGCAATATCCCATGAATGACATCATTAAATGAATCAACAAGATGGCTGCCCTTTGCTAGATGCATTGCAAAACTCAGTCTGTAGATGGCTACATCCACAGTGCACAGCTCAGGCTTCTTGATAATCGACGTGTAATAATCAGTGTGAAAGCTGTGGTCAATCACTGCGAAGGTGTTTGCGCGTAGAAGATCGTAAAGGCAGTGCTCTGTCGTTTCGCATTCGTCTCTTCGTAACTTTATTCCAGAATAGAAAGATGGAAGTGAAAAGTTCAGATAGTTGTCATTTTCCTTATGGTAATTGTACACTAGATCAGATTTGTACAGTTCTTCCAAAGTTCGTATCCTTTCCTTTACGCCAGGATCCACGAGGAAGCTCCTGAAATACGTCTGAAACAACGTGCTCATGACAAAGCAGTACCAGACAAACAAACAGAAGTATGACCTGACTTTAGTTGTTCGTGGCATATCCGTAGCTGCCATGCCAAGAACAACGGCCCATGTGTTTTGGATGCTATTATGTATCGTCATGTAGCTCGGAGATTCCTTCGTCGCAGTTCCGTCTGCACGTTTCACTCCTAACCACATCACAATAACAAACAAAGCGAATACAACCCCAGTCATTAACCAAACTGAAACTGTGAAAATGTCTGCAACCTTTTCCATTCTCGGAACTCGTTTCCCACACGGCACGTACCAGCTCATGTAATCGTCGATGTATGATACAGTCGAATCTGCAAAAGGGTAGACTAAAAAGTGCAATGGGTAAGCACCAAATGTTACATCTGTATTGCCAACCGCTAAATCTTCGAGCATTTCAACGCGAGACTTTAAACCAAACCCGGAAATTGGCATAAAAACAGGCGTCAAATTTAGCGCCTCCAAAATGAGTTTGCAACACTCTGCTTCCAGCCCATAGTACTTGTATCTGACTATGTTGTCCCCGTCAGTGTAATTTTCTTTCATGACAAGTGGTATCAAATCTATCGCAGATACTTTCAGTGGGCAACCGTGGAACTTTTTGTGAATTCTTGCGGGAAACAGAGGCACTTCTTTCAAGAAACGACCCCTGTCTTCGACAATGCAACTGTCAATAAGGACAACTTCCTCAACATCTGCACATTTCACTTCGGACTGATAAGGGAACCACGTGTATAAATCGAAGATGGGCGTTTTGGTGTTCCGTTTACGAACATCCCTCGCGTACTGTATGTCTCTGGTCTGCGAAACTAGGACAAGTACATTCAGAATCCTGTAATATTTCCAAAGTTCCTTCGTAATGTTCAAAGTCACTCCCACTGTATCCATAAGAGGTTCATCTACTACGACCAGGAATTTTGCTCTGTTATTCCACGTGCCCATATTCTCCAGGGCACTCAGCTGATCGTTTAGGTTGCCCATCAGGACTTGCACGTCTCCTCCAGACCACAGAAGAATTATGTAGCTGCCCATCTTCCAGTAGTCGTCATATGCTACCCCTAGTGACGCACTAGACGGACGCGTTGTCGTTATTTGCCACAGCAGTTTCTGGTGCAGATGCTGTAGTGTCGGCTGTAACAAATGCCTCTCGCTGTCCGTCTGGAAGTG